CCGTGCCAAGTATGGACCATGTATGGGGTAGGCCACCAGGAATAGGAGGAACACCTCCATTGCCATTTTGCCTTTTATGACTAGATTTTGTGCAGATCTGTGCTCACATGAGCTTATGTTCCCTTAACCCACATCTCCCAAAATGCCAGGGCAAAAAGCCAGACATCTGGTTAGAGGGCAGAAAGCCAGCCTCAGCTGAAAATTTAGTCCCACCCAGGTGTTTTAGTATTCATAGAAGGTTTAAAGCCCCTGGTAATCATAAGAAAGACATTTAATTGGGGCTCGGGATGTGGCTCAAGTGGTAGCGTTCTTGCCTGGCATGCATAGGGCACGGGGTTCGATCCTCAGCACCACATAAAAATAAAATAAAGATATTGTGTCCACCTAAAACTAAAAAATAAACATTTTAAAAAAGAAAGACATTTAATGTGTTATTAACCTCGCTGAAAAGAATATTGACATCTCAAGATACTTAAGAAACAAAGATAGCAACTTCTTTCCCATTTTTCTGGCTTCGAAATAAAGAGGACAAAAAATCTTTAATTCAGCCTCTGCCTCAACACATGCCAGCAAAAATATACTTCCTCTTCATTTGCTCTAACAAAACCTACCAAAATTTAAAAAAAGAAAAAGCAGGACTGAGTGTTTAATTTATGCATTGAGTAATCAAGTTATAAATTGTTACAACAAAACTCCCCAATAAGATGCATTTAAATGTAATATAGTTGGTGTCTGACTCCCATTCCTGTCCAACCTTGTTCCCAAACAAGAGGAATAGATGAATCTCCTGTTGGGAATAAGGCAGTGCAGCACTGACCTAGCAAGTAGCTGTCCCATAACCATGTGGCATGTTCCCAGCTCCATTTACAGTCAGTTGTGAACATTAGTTTCAGTATCAGCACTATAGTAGACACCTACTGAAAAACCAGTTTTTCATTAATCTTATAATGAAAAGGCCCTGCATTTTATGCTATTTAGCCATTGAGACCTTCATCATCATGTTATATTTGGTTATACTGTCTTCACAAAAAAAGATCATCAATATAGGTATCCCAGGATCTGCCTTCCCTGAACCCATTCTAGTGTTCCCCAGTTTCCTAAGGTATAAGATAGCTATTCGAGGTACCTCTCACTAGAGTTCAGAGGAGGGAAAGCAGTCACTTGCTTCTGTTTTGAAGGACAGCATAGAACATTCTCATGAATTCTATACTCGTACAGAGAATCGTCACAGAGTGTCTTATTGGATATTCCCTTTGTGTCACTAATATCTGGGCTTCTCACAGGGCTTCATAATAGCAGCTGGTCACCTCAGCTCTGTCCACCTTCTTCCCTGATTGTGAGCACCCCTCTACCTATCTTCCTCTTCTACCCCTCATACACTCTCCTGAAGTTCCAGAGTATGTGTATTTCCAGGGATCCCTTAGGGTGTGGACTAGCTCAGCACATGTCCATGGTAACCACACTGTTCCAAATTGGATCCTTTGTCCGTGATGTGAAGGAAAATATAATACAACAGAAGAAAACACAGCTGCCAAAAAGAGACAAGGACAAATCTGGAAGGGGTCAGAGGTTAAGTTCAGAGTCAGGTAGCTCCAGACCCCAATTACATGGGTTTAAATTCTGGTTGTATCATTCACTCTCCAAGTGTCCTTGAGGGAGTCTCCTTACCTTCTATTCCTCACTTCTATAATCTGTAAAACAGGACAATAATAGTAAGACACCTCATGGGGTTTTATAGCAATCAATTAAAGTTCTTGGTACATAATTAGATTTCTCTAAAAAGCTCTTATTACTATTATTATAATAATCATTACTGTCCTAGAGTGAAGAATTGGAAGTGGAAAGTGGTGAATAGTTTCCCAAATGCATTAGTTTCCCAGGCTACCACAACAAATTGCCACAACTTGGGTGACTTGAAGCAACAGAAAGGTAATGTCACAATGCAGGAGTCCAGAAGTCCAAAATCCAGGTATTCCTAGGCTAGTTCCTTCCAGAGTCTCTGGAGAAGAAATGATCCTTAGTTTTGAGGGGTTGCCAGCAATCTTTGGTATTCCTTGGTTTGTAAATGCATTGCTCCATTTTATTGCCTCTGTCTTTTCGGTGTCTTTATGTCTTCTCCTTTTCTCTCTCCCATAAAGACAATTTCATTGTATTTAGAGTCCACCCAATGTAGTATGCTTTTATCTAAACCTTACCTTTTATTATATTGGCAAAACTCTCTAAATAAAGTCAGACTCTGATGTTTCAGGTGGACATAAATTTTGGGAGCAAACCTAATCACCCCACTATAGCAACTAAGCAGGGTGAGATCAAATCAGAGGAAGAAACCATGAACAGTTTCTGAAAGAATGTCATCCCACCATGGGCATGATGTTTCAGGGCTGTAATGGCTGTGTGGCATGGGTGGTCAATCAAGCAAAATGAGCCAGCCACTCTCAAGGTCATCACTGAGGAACCAGCTGTCAAACAGAGTTAATCATGTGCTGTCATTTAAACTGTAGCCAACTTCTCTAGAGAAAAGTTAAAGGTACCCAACTCATCCAGCAACACGTTATAAGCTCTTTACTCTGTCTCTCCTAACATTATGTGTCACTATTGAACCCTGAATGCATTCCGACACTGGGAGATGCAATATAAAGTGTATGAGCTTTGGAGCTTCAGAGAAATTAATTATAATGCCATGCTTTGCAATTTACTATCTTCACTTACCCACCTTCATGGCCTCAGACAAGGCACTTACCCTCCCCAAGTCTCAATTTCTGCATAACGCCATCACCAACTTGTGGAGCTATTCCATGTAAGAAAATAATGTATGCAGAAGCTTCACCTAAGGGCTGGCATAAATCTCAGTGAGTGGTTGATATCTGCCTTAATCCATTTGTGCTACTGTAACAAAACACCTGAGTCATGATGGTGTGAGGGGGAAGGAAAAAAAAAGAGAGAGAGAGAGAAATGTGTCACAGTCGATTGGGTAGAGAGAGGTGATGGGAGGGGAGGGGAAAAGAGAGAGGGATAGGGAGGGCAGCAGAATACAAAAGACACTAGTATTGCTGTATGTCTATATGTGGCTGTATAACCAATGTGATCCTGCAATCTGTACACATGGAAAAACGAGAATTCATACCCCATTGAATCAAATGTATGATATGTCAGGATCATTGCATTGTCTGGAGCAACTAATAAAAAATAAAAATTAAAAAAATAAAACACCTGAGTCAGGGTACTTTATAAAGAACAGAAACTTACTGTTCATAGTTAGGGAAGTTAGGACAGACCAAGGCACCAACAGGTTCCATGTCTGCTGAGGACTGGGGTTCTGCTTCCAAGAGGGTGCCTTGTTGCATTCTGCAGAGAAGATGAACCTTGTGTCGTCACATGGTGCAAGAGACAGAAGAGCCAAAGGGCCTCACTAGTTCCCTCCAGCCCTTTTATAAGGTTGCTAACCTTACTCATGAGGAGTCTGCTGTCCTAACTTAATCACCTCCCAAAGATCCCTAGCTCTTAAAACTATCACACTGGTGATTAAATTTCAGCATAAAAATTTCAGGGGATGAATTCTGACAATATCCCAGTTACTGTAACAATTGAGAGGTGATAGTTCCATCTCTCCTCCTGATTAGGAGAGAAGGCCAAAGAGACCATGAAGAAGAACTGTGACGACTCATCCACATACATATCCCATCATCTCTTCCCCCACTACCACCTCCACTCCAGCACAATGTAAATGGAGTGAATACACAGTGAATATTACAGGAACTAAATGACACAGCAACAGCATTCCAAGTACAAACTGTCTCAAAGAATGAACCTCCAATATCCTTTTGGATTTTGAAGCATCCAGGACAGTGCATAGACAAAGTCTCTCCCTTGGCTTACCAAATGAACACTGCACAGAGCAAAGGCAACACAAAGTAGTGTCAGTGCTGTAGTACAGGTCAACACAAAGAAGCTCGGACCATATAAATCCAGCATTCAGAGGCCACACAACCTGTTTCTCATGAGTGCAATTTTATTATTTAGTTTACATGTGTATTACTGAGGTAATACATATTCATTGTAGAAATTTTAGAAAATATAGCCAAGCAAAAAGAATAAAATTCGCTCTTAATCCCAGAGAAATATGAAGACTTTTTTCTTTAACAATATATTGTACAATGAAACCCACTGTTTTATACAGTTAATATGTGCTAATGATTATAATAAAAAATAATATATCATTACAGCTTCCTAATATTCCATTATATAAACCTATCCATATTCATTTATCCCGTCCCTAAATGGATGAAACTTCAAGGAATTTCAACTCGTTTTCAATATTTTGTCAGTGGAAAAAAAATGCAAATATATGAGTTTACTTCTGATTCATCTTACAAACCTTTAATGATTTGCTATTTATTATAACTCTTCCCCTTTTCTCAGTGTTGAACCCCAAAATAAATTTGTTTGATTTATGAGGAACTGATTTTCTTATCTAATCTGAAAATCTGCTCTCAGCTTTGGCTGTATTGTCTTAAGCAAGCTCTTTCCTGGGCCACGCCTGCCTGTGTGCAGTAACAAGTAGCCAGCATTCCTGGGTCTGGCTGCTTAGCTCACTTGTTCAGGGCATAGGGCTCATGGGGTCAATGTCACGGGATTTGAGCTCTACATATGCAGGCCAGTTACATGTTCAAAGACTGTTTTCTAACTCCAAACAGCTGTTGTTTAAACTCAGGCTGTTAGTTTCCAAGGAACTGTGCAAAAGAGCATGGGTAGATGAACACAAATACTCACCACTGTCTTCCCCACGAAGAGCAATTCAGGAAAGTATTCATGTCAAATCACACAAACCTGGGGAGACTATAGAAGATGAGAAAGAATAACGTTGGGAAAAGAGTTGCTGACCTGATACATACCTTGGTTTATAAACTTAATCTGTGAGTACCTACTGTTCCTGTGAGATAATTCAGCATCATGTTTTTCAATTGCTGTCGTTGGTGTTGACTGGCGTTTTTCTCTTGCAGCTGACACCGCACTTGGCACTGATGATGTATATGATGAAAAAGGATGCCAGTGTGATGTATCAGTCGAAGATCTCACCCCACCGCTTAAAACTGTCATTAGAGCTATCAGGTTAGTGAAAATTTGGAACCAAATGATTCAGAGGCAAATCTCTGATTATTTGAATTACTATGTTGCTAAGTTCTTCTTTAGCAGGTAAATCTCCTAGAATAACTACTTTTCCTTTTCCTGATCATTCACATGCCTATTAAGTTGTGAAATATTTTTTCTAAATACAAAATTCTATAGCGTGCAACACAAAATATGTTCTAAAAGGTGAAAAGCCGGGCCATCCTGGAGAAATTACATAGGATTCAGCATGCTGTCTGTATTTGTTCCTTTAAGGACATTTCGTTTATTGATGCAACTGGATTTTTAAATGATACTTAGGATGTGATGCTCCAATCTACATTCTGTATTTTGTATCAAAGATAAAGTCCTCTGGGTTATTTTAAAAGATATTGAGTTCTGAAAATGAGAAACCCAAATTACAATGCAGTGACTTGGTCCTGAAATGTAATTGTTAATGATTAATCTTAACTTTGCTTCTTCTATTGATGGCAGAAAGCTAAGAATGCATCCAAAGCAACTTAAATTTATATTTATAGTCTCCTCTTCCCCTTCACAAAAAAAAAAAAAAAAAAAAAAAAAACCACACACACACACAAAAAAAATTCAGGATATGGACTAAATGAACTGCTGCATTCTCAGCCTGTCTCGTCAAATCCCTCTGGGAGAATTTATATCTGTAAGGGAATGCTGAGTGACTGTAAAGCAAAAAAAAAATAATAATAATACCTCTGGTATTTTTTGGCACTTTCTGCCTCTTACCAAAAAGCAGAAGCAAAATTTAAAATATTCAAAACAGCTTAGCTGTTCAGATGCTTTGTCTAATCTCATGTCAGCATGACTGATTATGTCTGTTTATTTGGTCAGTTAGCATCATGTTAGACATGGCTTTCTCTATGCCATGGCTTTTTACTACAAAAGCAGAAATGAATGAAAAGATTTTGGTGAATGTGGGGACAAAGAAAATCATGGTATGGTAAAAATACATAGTGCACATTTTTTATGTTTAACCTATCTTTAACAGCAACCTCAGAAGAAATTAAGTAAAGCCTAGTTATTTCCCAATGGAACCATTCAAGTATCAAGTCCTACAGGAGATCACACCTTCCTATTTGGCCTGGAAAATCTCAGATTATGCCTCTTCTCTCATAGTAATCGTTAATAATATTCCCTGTTTTTCTCAAAGTATCCCAGTTTAATCAACCAACTATATTATCATCCTACCCTGGGGAAACTAGAAGTCTTGGATGATATTTAAGCCCAGAAAATCCAGAATATGTAGTGAAATGATGTCTGAAAACCTTAAGTTAAAGAGATGCAGAGGATCTAGAAATGCACTTTCCAATACAGTAACCATTAGTCACCTGAGACTATTTAAATTTGAACTGATTGAACTGGAATACAATTTAAAATTCAGCAGCTCAGTCTCACAATCTACATTTCAAGTGCTCAGTACCACAGATGGCTAGTGGCTACAATATTAGACAAAGAAAATATGGAACATTTCTTTCACTGCAAAAAATTCTGTTGGACATTGGTGGTCTAGAAGTCACCTTGAGATTCCTTACATGCATTGATTATATCCATGAAAGATCCTAAAGTGAAAGGGTGAGGGGACAATTCATTCCTCAAATTAATCTAACTTGCAACAAGAATAGAAAATTTTATCTAGTGGAAGCAGATTAGTTTTCTTAAAAGTCATATTTAACCTGGTCTCTGTCATTTCCCAAGACCTTCTGAAGCTTTCTGCTTTTGCTTCACAACCTATAAAATGGATTGTGAGCTGCAAGAAAGAAAATGAAATAGGTTTATTCTGCTAGCTAAGCGCTTTAGCAACAGTTTAAGATTTACTTTGCTCTACCTTCTTGAAACCTGACTGATTTTGTAATGTCCTTTGTAGAATTCTTGATTTTTAGAATTCTTTCTTCATCCTTATTTTTAACTTAATTGAATTATTTATCTGTCTATCCTTGTTGTGGATTTCTGAAACTTTCTGTGTACTATGTGACACTTGAGGAGGATGTTTTTCTCCGCCATATCCTGATTTTGCTTAGTGGGTCTTTTTTTTTTATCATTTTCAAGTTTCAGCTAAAATTACTGGATTCTATAAAAATCTAATAACTATACTAAATAGTTTAATAACTTAATTGGAAGTCTTTTATTCATGGTAGTACTTAATTTCTAAAGATATGTAATTAAAAGACCAATCCATATAACTAACAGTTGTGAAAATAAGTTTGCAGGTATAAGTTCCTAAATCATATGCAAAAGTGTTCTTTTTTTTTAAGAATTTTAATTACATAAATAAGTTCAGCAGCATCAGTTGACTGAAAGATTTTTTTGCCAGAAAATGTCCACCTTTTGCAACTCACAATAATAGTTTACACATGCATTATTAATTCAAATGTAAACTATATATTATTAATCTCTAAAATAACAACTTGTCTTGGCATTTTCTCTGTTGTTTTTTTTTTTTTTTGACTGTTTGAATACTTAATACAAGTGCTTGAATATGCCTTTTGTATCCCAGTAGCTCTTACAATAATAGGTTTTCTTATCTAAAATGTGTAATAGAAAATATGTATTCCACTGCAAGGATGATAGTATAGAAAATGATATTACTACACTTACAAAGTAGGAATTCTCATTTTCAGTTATTAATATTTATTAAGTATCTAACCATTTTCTACTTACTTTTGAGAGTGAAAATTCTCAGGCAATGAGAATATTAAGACCACTCTGGGGCTGGGGTTGTGGCTCAGTGGTAGAGCGCTTGCCTCACACATGTGAGTCACTGGGTTCGATCCTCAGCACCACATAAAAATAAATAAAAAAAATAAAGGTATTGTGTCCATCTATAACTAAAAAATTAAAAATAAAAAAGACCACCCTGAATTTGTCTGGATTCTATTATCCAAATGCACTTTCTGCCTTTTTAATGAATGATGCCACTTTTTATAGTACATATAAAATAATGACTATTCTTAGACTATTGTCAAAATATGTCTTTTACTCAGAAAAAAAAAACTTAGTTTTGTATTTTTCCTTTAGAATTTTCACAGATTTTTCTCAAAATAATATTTTATGAAAATGTACAAATTTTATGGAATATTTTTTCAAATTCACCTCTGAGATTAGAAAGAAATTTTACTTTTTTTTTTTTTGGTGCTGAGATCCAGCCTTGTGCATGCTAGGTACTCTAACACTGAGCCACATTCCCAGTCTGAGATTGTACTTTTTTTTTTTAAGTACCTGGTATTGAATTCAAGGGTGCTCAACCAATGAGCCACATCCACAGCCCTTTTCAATTTTTACTTTGAGACAGGGTTTCATTAAGTTGCTTGGGGCCTCTCTCTGTTGCTGAGGCTGCTTCCAACTCCTGCCTCAGCCCCCTGAGCTGCTGTGATTACAGGTGTGCTCCACTGTGCCTGGCTTCATGACTCAATTCAAACAATGTTAAGTTTGTTTTCCTCCATTCAGGGAAATTAGTATCTAAACAGAAAGCAAAAATTAGGAAGGAAGTAAACAAATCAATCTAGACATTCTACAAACAAATCTAGAGCATTCATCATACCCCCTTTTCCCTGTCTCATAGTAGGACAACAGTTTTCCTATCACTTTTTTAAAAATATAGCCCATAAATTGCTTGGGTGTGTTTTTCTCAGAGATTCTGAATTCTCTGAGTGGATACTGACTGTGACTGTTCACACTAAGACTTGACATTGTAGGTCACCACGTAAGTATGAGTCTTGGGCAGATTTTCACATAAAACATTAACATATGCTTTTTTAAAATTTGAGATAGCAAGTGTTTGAAAGTTATATCCAATACAAGTAAATATTTTTAAAAGAGTCCAAGAATGACTTTTTAAAATACAAAAGAAATTAGGTAACTTGTTTTCCTGTACTAAACTGGTTAGGTAGTTTCTTAGATGTGTACACCAAGGCAAAAGGTAAGTATGGTAACTTCATTAACAACTGTTCTATCAGCTTGCTTTATCCTGCCATGTTTTCCACCATCTTCAAGATCACAATATGATGCAACTTATTTTCCTTGTGAAGATAACCGAGAATACCAGTGCAGATACTCATTATTCTCAAGAGAAATGAAAGAGAAGTTATTGATTATATCTGGTTCTTAACTTCTCTTAGTACCTTCATGCTATAATCACCATGCCTCTCATGTTTTTCTACATGCAACCTTTCATTTCCCAAGTCACACCAGCCTTTTAGAGAAGCAAATAAATTTTTTAAAAAAGGTCTAGGGTGAAAACTCAAAGAATTGGGGGAGGGTGTGTACCAGAACCCAGGGGTACTTGACCACTGAGCCACATCCCCAACCCTTTTTATATTTTGAAACAGGGTCTCACTAAGTTGCTTGGAGCCCCACTAAGTTGCTGATGCTGGCTTTGAATTCACCATCCTCCCACCTCAGCCTCCTAAGCAACTGGGATTATAGGTGTGTGCCACCACAACCAGCTCAAAGAAATTTCTTTCTTTTTTCTTTTTTTTTTTTTTTTTTTTTTTTTGGCTTAAAGGAGCATAAGTTTATTTTCTCACAGTTCTGGAGGCTAGAAGTCCAAAATTAAGGTGTCAGCAGGGCTGGTTCCTTCCTGAGGCTATGAGGGATAATCTGTTCATCCTCTTTCCTAGCTTCTGATGGTTCTTGGCAATCCTTAATGTTTCTTGGCTCATAGCTTATTTCTACCTTCACATGGCTGGTGCTGTCTCCCCCCACCCTCACTCCCTCTCTCTCTACCAATTTGCCTGCACCTGTCTCTGAAAAAGACACCAGTCTTTGGATTTAGGGCCCATCCTAGCCTATTCTGACTTGATTGTATGTGCAAGCCTCCTAATTGCAAATAAGATCACACTCACAGGCACCAAAGGTTAGTTAGGACTTGGATAGACCTTTTGGAGGAACACGCTTCAGCCCAAGGGGCAAGGAATAAACTTTTTTTAGTTGAAGCTGCAGCTGATTTTACCCTGACATCACAGGTTAAT